CAGTTATAATATTCACCAATAATTTATAGCACGGAGCAAGCTTCAGGGGGTTCTTCACTTAACCATTTATTATTCCTTGGTTTATAAAATTTCTTTTATAAATGATCTTATTTATTTTCATTACATACATCACACCTTTACAACTAAAGAAAAAACATAATGAAAACAACGATTTTTCGAAAAAAAAATATAGATGTTTAAACTTTTTTTAACTAAACAATTTGCATGAACCCAAGGAACTCATTTACTTATCATCGAACATTTCTTTATTTTTAGATAGTCGCTAAATTTTCTACCTTTGCCCTAGTACACAGGATTAAACCGTTGGAGCTATATACTTTTTTCTAGTCTCTAGTAACCTGAGATCACTTTAGTAAAGCTCTATATATTTGTTATCAAAACAGTCAACAAAGATATGGCTCAGTGCCCCAGAGATATCTGGGTAGAAAAAAAAAAGTATCGCATGACCAAGGCTACGGAAAGAATGAGTCGCGGTAGAAAGAGCCTTACTTGCTTTGATTTGTTTGGACAACGGCAACTTCCTGATGACGAGTATTCTTTGGAAGCCAGAAGCAGGCTAATCGCCTCTTTACCATGATCTCATAGGTGATGATCTATTGATTTAGTGATTATGATTTATTTATATTATTTATATAGAACGTTGAAGTTACCACTGGGGGCGAAGGCGTTCTTGTGCGCTCCTATCATTAAAGATGCTTGCGGCCTGTAGTCATGTGTCGAGTTCGTCAAAAATCGCAGAAGGCCACCAGGGACCACCAACAGAGGCCAGTAGGTTCGGCTGCAAGGACGAGTGTATCCTTATCTAGTCAGGAAACATATATTTATTAAGGGGTTGACTGTTCTCTTTAAGCTGAGATCTGATCTCTTTATTGACAGATAACAGAAATATTATGCTGCCTTGTGCATACATAATGTAGCTTTAGTCAAACAGCCATTGCGTATTGGCGTTAACGGAATCTAAACCGCTGTAACCGTGGCCTTTGCCGTAGCCCAGATATCCATTTCCAATGCTTGAAAATGTTTGACGAGACTGAAAAATTTCACCTCTGCCGGTTGGATTTTACCACTGTCTCTTACGTTGGTTTCTAGATATTTTAATTTCTTTGAGAATACCCTTTTTATCAATGGAACCTAGATGTTTTATTAAGACCCGAGAAATCCCTAATCTAAAGCAATATTGCAATTACTTACAGCAAAAACGACCAATAATTAGTTATCTAAAAAAATATTTTGAATTATTATTAACGGAATCAACGAGATATTATTTATATAGCAAAACAAACGATAACTTCTCAGCATTATGAGTCTAATACTATCACTGAAAGGAACCAAGCACTTTTCGAATTCAAACTTCAGGTCTGCTCGATATTGTTACCAGTGCCAATGAAAAAACCGGCCTAGCTATAGGAGACATTTTTAGCTCCGACATGTTGTCCTGCGACGCAGTTTTGCCACCAGGATACGCTTACAACTTTCGAATCAGGCAAGCCAGTCGAGATCTAAATAAAGCTGGAGGCGCACCGGATTCCATTACACTAACAAAGTACCTGAGCCTCTAGTTAACGCAAAGGCGAAGGAAGGATAAGAGTTAGAGGTGGCAGAGAGAGGAAGTCTCGTAAGATGTGGCATATGAAATGAAAGGCAAGACCACAAAAGATATAAGACTCGTAAAATATTGTCATCGTGGATAGGCCGAACACGAAAGCTGGTGAAAATCTTTTCCACTCAGAGCATTTACAAAATTTGAAGCAAATATATAGAAAGCCTACAAGTTCCATCAGTGACATGGAAGCAAGTAACAGCTTCGAAAATTATAGATTTTATGAACCAGAAATCTGATCATGGTCCAGTTTAAGATAAGGCATTCAACATAGTGTACAATAAACATCCATACATGAAAACATACTGATTCAGAAAATGCTGTCTGTAGGTTGATATCTAGGGGCACAGGAAAGTATTTATTGAAATTAAAAATGTATGCGCAGGCGAGCTTTCTACAATTTGGATGAAATAAAATGTACTAAAAAATTGGCGTTCATTTATTACAGTCCACATTCAGTCCAGTGACGAGTGTTACAAATTGTATTCTGGCAAATTTGGAGTAGGTTGTCTTTTTGCAGTTAACACTCTGTATACGGAGCTATTGATATTCCACAGCTACGAAACGTATTGTACGGAGTCGCGCTCCAACGATGCGGTCCACTGTAGCATTTTTGCCCAAAATTAACGAAACTCTTATTGACGATAAATATAGATTTTCTTTTTCTTTTCTTTTTTTACTGTGGAGCGAAATTTTTATGACCTTGAAAATAAACGGGTGACGTTAATGGCCCTGAAGAATATTTCTCTAAGTGTACACCATGTCGTTTTAGATCTTTCGGGGAAATCCATTGTGGAGCTCACAAAGGCTCCAAGCGACTGTGTAGAGACGATACGGTGGTTCATAACATGTCGATGTTGAGTTGCCGAGAACATACGTTGCCAGCTTAGTCTTAAGATGGACGTTTAATCAAATGCCAGATTCGGGTCGGTTCTGTCTTCGATAAAAAATTTTGCCAAAGCGACTAACAGATGACTTATGCCAAGGATTAAAGTACGATGCACTATATCAAGTCAGGGTAATTTCCACTTTATAACAAACAGAAGTAAATTTTCATGTATTTTTATTTATAAAATAATTCGAAAAACGAAATATCACATTTATTTTCTTTACAGAAGGTGTAACACGGAGGCATACGGAGATGTCTGGATTACTACTAAATGCGAACTTACTTACCAAAACAAAGCCTGCTTTTCTCTACAAGCGTGTGTGTAAAATCCCTTGTGCCAGATTTCGTCGACAGAGACTTTCACAACTGTCAAAAGCAACAACTAGTGCAAACGCATTGACGTTATTTTTAATGTTTTTATGCAGTTTCCTGTTTGTAAAAGTAACCGCTTCTGCTAGGCAAAAAAGATAAACATAATTAGGTCTAGATGGCAAACGTTTCCCGCTAGTATAAGAGTTCCGTTTTACATTTATGGAAGTAGTACGAGAGTAGCATGAACTGACAATGAGAGTTATTAAAAAACAAAGTAAAAATTCGCAAACCGTCAGGGTAAGAGACTTTTTCCTTACCCTGTTTGTAGAAAATAGCGAAAAAAAACTAAATACATATGAAATTGTCTAATGCCGTATATATATTAGACGTAGACGTAAATCGCTATGCCTGCTGACGCACTAGGTGCACCGAATTTATGCTGAATTAGTGAAATAACACTGTCAGACGAAAACAATACATTGTGCTGCCAGATATGAAAGCAGATTTGATATGAGTTAGCTCTTCAAATAAGTGAAAATGATTTGGTCTTCAATCCTGTAAATCACTCTCTCATAATATATAAGCTTTATATCTTCTTGAATTCGCGCGCGAAAGAAAAAGCTCCACCTATCAAGAAATCGATAACGAAGCGGCCCACCGACTCAAGGAATCAGTCTCTTGTGAAGCTTAATTTTGTCATAATATAAAGCCAATAAGAATATACGAGTATACATAATGCATATATATATATATATATATACATAGATACCCGTGTGACAAGAGGCGAAAGCTACTGTAAGCCGTACCGTACGATTTTTATCATTTATGAACATGAGTTGATGCTAAAAAAGATGCGGAGCGTAAACAAAATAATGGAAGAGATTGGGAAAACAACTGTTTAATGTAAGCATCGATTGATTGATATTTATCCAGTAGAACCTTTACGAAATAACGTTTACTAGTTAAACAGCTTGTCGCTTTGAGAGGCTTCTTAAGGGCATTTCAATCAAATGACATGAAACGGCAAAAAAGAGTAGCTCATTCTTGATGTATCTCTACTATGTTCCTCCATTAGTTTTCAAAATTTCTAGATTTATTTGATTTCATCTCATTTACATAGCTCTATTCAAGCAATCTAATTATACTTTCTTCAAAACCCTTTTTTTTGGCTATCCGTAGCAGGGCAGCTGTTAACAGCTGGTATACGAGAACGACGAACTTGTCCAGAGCTTACATTTTCAAGTTGGTTTTCTCTCTCCCATTTAACAACGCTATATCTCCACTAAAAGTATTGGAAAGCTTTGCTTGCTTCGGACTGATTAGTAAATTAGTACTGAATCTTAAAGTAACGCGCAAGTCTTGGTTTAACACGGTCGCTTTCGACGCGTTCCTTTCCCAGCCAGTTAACTGACTTACGAGTACGACCATGACCTTTCCATGTCTGTTTCTTTAGTAAACGTAGGACGTCCCCGTGATGGTCTAGTGCGTGACGTATTTGCCTGTTAATGTTGGAGATACGTGATGGTCTAAGATCGAATCCAGGCGTAGACACGGTTTGTCTAATGGTGGAAAACACCCGTGTGATGGTAGGTCTGACGGCGGTGCCGGACATAAAGCTCGCAACATTTGGTTTACCCATACGTGGAATACGTAAAGCCAGCTTAACTTAATAGTATTTCGTAGCTCAGTGAGCGTCTCTGTAGGAAAAATTCGGGTTCGGATCGGCCAAATCATCAAAATATTGGAACCCATATTTTTTGGGTCGCTACCTCACTATACTTAAAAATTGCCAGCTAAACGATTTGTGCAATTCGATCTAACTACATACTATAAATGAAATACGAAAGACCCATCAGTAGTCACGTGTAATTTTTTAGACTAAACGTTTTGCTCAAAATGTAACTTTCTTACTAAACATGGCATTCAAGACCTAAGTAAGTGCCTAGAATGAGTGTTCTCTGTAAATGCTAAGACTGAATATCGTGCACCGAAGTTTACATGGATACTTCTGTCAGGTTACAAGCATTATAGAAAAAGCTGCTAAACCAAAGTTCCTTTAGTCAGCGTATTTCTTGTTTTTTTTTTTTTACATAAAACGCAGAGAACGATAAATAAACATGTTCTTTCGCGCTTTTTATCTAATAATATGCATTTATGTTATTTTATTAGCACAAGATGAAACTCAATACGAATATGGAAGAGACCGAGTATGGGCTCGAGACTAGGTAAGAGAATCCTTATCTCTGCTCTGCCAAAGACCTAGAGCGTTTCAGGTAGTTGGGTTCCAAAAAAGTGACGAGCATCTATATTTAGGTCGGAATAACGGCGGCGGCGGTAGATGGCGTGATCAGCCACGATGTTAGAAGGTACGACCCAACAGCCATCCCATAATCGCCCGAAGGTTGCTATTTTCGTCGAAGGCATAATTATCGCATGTCAATGTAAATGGGTACATCTTTGTGCTGACAATCTCCATACGAACTCGATATCAGTTATGGCGGTGATAAATGCAACAACTTTTTGACGCCGCACGTAGAGCGGAAAGCAATTTTAACTGAAATAAACGATTGCAGTTCATCGATACTTCTATTTCTATTAATGATGTATTCCATAATTATATGAGCGAACTAAACGCGTACTATGTTAGTCATCATACGGTACTTACGAAAATGAATCTTACATGATGACTGCTGATAATCCCTGATGAGTGTTGGCTATTGTAGTAACGGATGACGGTAGCTTCCTAGCTGCATGAGCTAATACTGCTTAGGTAAGCTAGGCGGGCCGCAAAGATCCTGGCTGGCTCAGACGCACTCTGCAAGACCTGCTAGTGGGCGCAAGTCTTTGATGTTATACGGAAGAAGTGATTTCGACAAGCTAGCTATCCAGCAGTTTTAAAAAAAAGTAGCCAAAAGTGCTAGTAAAAATGTAAGTTTCCTTCTGAAAATATTCCAACAGTGCAGATTCTATACGTCACAATGACTTGGAATAAGAAAATCTTTCGCTTTAGTGCCATATGGTCTTCTATTTGTAAACCTATAGACGCAGTTGTTACTATTATTACGAAGAAGTTCCACAAAAATTACGTGGAGTTGAAATACTGTATAACTACAAATGCCAGATCACGCTCGATTATTTAATAAACAAGTTAATCGAATAAATTAGATCAGTTACGGAACAATTTAGAAATTATCGCGCACAAGGCCCGCAACCATTCTAAGATAAAATGACGCTTTCCCAAAACCACCGAATAAAGACGTGTTGATGCGCTGAAATACAAATAGTTCTCACTGGCTCCTTCTATTATGGGCAGCACAAGTACAGCCTCTCGAGTGAAATGCTACCTAACGAAAACGACCTAAGAATATCTTGCATAAGTTGTAACTAACTCGTCCTAAGTCTAGATGTGGGACGTTGGTTGGCCTTGTCAATAATCGATAATGTATGGCGCGGTTTTAGGTGGAAATCTTATATTTCTGCCGCGGCCTTCGTTGTCCTGTTAAGACGTTTATATCGAGCTCATAGCAACAATCTTACAGGATGCTAATTACACGCACATTTTAATTAGTTTCCTGATGTTATATGCTAATATATTTCTGACAAGTTCTAAATAGGAACGAAGACATCTGGTCGATGTTATTAACCGATCGGGTCGTGTAGTCACAACATAACATGAGCACTTCCAACTTGTTCTATTAACAGCTGTTTGTTCTAATCTAAGATAAACGCTAGTACCTCCAGGCCTATCTAATTATATCAGTAGTTTTTTTATTGAAAAAAAACATTGCGCGGAACGGTACTGATCGTAAAGCGCATGTCTAGCGAAGGCTTTTAAGGGCTTTCAGTCCAACCTACTATTGATAGGTGGTACGGTGGAGCACATTAACAGATTACCTTATGAAGTGTATGTCTACAAATCACATGAAGCTGAATCAACGGGACTGGGTCGTCTCATCATACGCCATATTCACAGCTATATTTTACGTTTGATAAATGGATGGTTCGGCTGAATGTAGTCAGATTATTTTGATTTATATTTTGGCGTATTTGATCCTTTTGGCAAAAGCCTAACGATTTATCGGAGATTTCTACTCGCTTTGTTTTCTAACCTGAGATGGCAGAAACGTACGTTTTCAGTTTGGGTCAATTGGAAACGTATTCAAAGATTCAGTGTCTTACAAATGCCTTACATTACACATAAGGATAAGGAAGATGTTCAAATTGCAATAAAGAAATCCTAGTTAAACATTTTAGAGCTGTAGATATTTACATGTTTCGCAATTACTCGATGTATTTTTCAGCCTTATTCCTACGTGCATGATTTTTCTAATACGTTTGATAAAAAAAAGAACATACTTGGATTTGTCTTGAAACACCAGGACTGTGGGCATGAGCATATGTTAACTTCGCCGTCGATACATGGTAGCATACGCCTCGAAACGGACGGGTGAACCAAAGAAGATTTCTCAGCCGTGGCTTCCATGTTACGATACATAACTATGTAATGCGCATTTTCAGACTAAGCCTTGGCTCGCTTAGTATACGATCTCTGAGAAAAACGTTCATCACTCTCTAATTCGACCGTTTTCTTTTGCTTCGCTAGACATTCACACTATTTGGTATTCATATCTGCTAGCAACGAGACAGGTATTAAGAGAAAGTTCCGAGAGCATCATTTGAAATACTGAATATTGTTCGGCTTTAAAGTGTAGCTGAAATCGCTCGAGCCCACAAAAATATTAGTTCAGATGAAGGCGTGCAAAGACCATGCTCCAGTTGGGCTTGAAAGTTCTCTCTGAGGTGACGAATTCAAGTAATAATGCTGCTGCTGCTGCTGCTGCTGCTCGTTCGGTTCTACTTCATTCCACAGCCGAAAACTACCAACTAAGTAAGTTTCAATTTCTAACAGTTCGCCTTTTTACTAACTTACAAGCAGCTATTTATCTAGAGTAATATGTTTATCGCAAAAAAAAAAACTGACTCTAATTGCTTCGGCTAGAACAGCCGGTGATCGATACAACAGGACAATAGATCATAGCAGGAACTGGTTCGATAATACTAATTTAAAAACTAAAGTTGAACACGTGTTGAAAATGTTATAAACTTATAGCTTTTATACTGTTACTATTTCGTTTTACTAATGCTGCCATAAACATATCGTCACTAATGACAATGGGTGCAGCTTTATATACAAAATGGAGAAAATTACACCGATTACCTTGTGCTCCTTCGATCCCATTGTCGTAAGAGGCTGTCACGTCCCTGTCACGCACGCGCTAGTAGGCGTTGTCGTGCGAACTACATCCGTCTGGGCCGAACACACGGCCGAGCTTGCCGGCGATTATGTGTAAGCTGACAAGCTGGTGGTTATCTATAACTTCAGTGGGTTTCCCTTAGCGCGTTCATAGTGCTAAATAATAGCACGTGAACCTCTCGTCACTAGTTCGAAACGCTGTCAAACACTATTGCTTGCGGCCTATATACGGAGCGTCAATTGTTCTTAGAGCTTCTGGAATAAACTTTGAGTAAATGCTGGATCTGAGTCGAAATGCCCCAAGATCTTTTTTAGACATTGCACACCCATACGCTTAATAGGTCACGAGCAGGCGCAATGAATAGCTAGCTGGACAGACCAGTTTGCCCAGCTAGCTATATATATGTAAAGCGACTTATTCAATTATTGGTCTGAATTAAGTTAGAGAGACTTCTTATTATATTACTTTATTAGATTAAAGTAAACCGGTAAGCTGAACAGCGTAACTTCGCAAAAAGTTAGTGCACAGCCAACGAACGTGTGTTACGGTTATCGCTGGATTATTATGACGAGCATTGTATTAGTAATTGCTTGCAGATATTTTTATATTTATATTTAATCTATTACTAGGAAAGCGTGTCGCGTGACATTTGGCATATCGTACAACAGATTCGTTCGGTAAAGGGCGCTATTCCGCCCTCCGCTTTCCGGAGGCCATTTTAAGCCTAAACAGCAGTGTTGCCTGTTGGACGGAATAACTTTTTGGTCTTTCCACTGTGTTCAATATTCGCTGCCTTTGTTGCTACCCAAGCTCAGCCGCTCAGTCTATACCACTACAGAAAGGCTAAAATGCTACCCTTTATAATTGAGACTTTGTTCTAAGTAGTGATTTGCAAGGAAGTTGTGATATGCATCGTTCATTTTTAACGCAGTTTGGCTATTTCTGCATCGTTCTACTTCTGCAAAATTAAAATTAGTGTAGGACGCGAAAATAGGATAATTCCGAGAGCTATGATAAACTAGCGAGCATCTCTAGCATGAACGGCAATATCCGTTTGCCAACTTTCTTTCATACAATCTAATGGGGCAGTGCTAACTAAAAGTATCTCATCAGTAGCATGGTCGCTGAGTATCTTCTTTTCTTCAATAATTGAGCTTGTCCGAGCTTAAGTAGCTGCGATGCAAAATGCCTCGCTGCGATTTGCGTGGATTTTAGGTAATAAGATCGCCTATAGGCTTGGTCAAAGTCCTTGGCAAGCCAAACACCAAGACCTCGAAGGGCCTATACAACCCGTCGCTCACTCGGTAGCTGCTATAACGAGAACTGCCTAGGGGATTTCGCCGACTACTGAAAAGTGCACAACATTTCAGAAGTTCGGCAGAGTGAGCCGAAGACGCCTTAAACGGCTGCGAGAAAATTAGAGGAATTGTCAACGAAAGCGTTCTCGCATTTGGACCTGTTCGAGCTTTACTGGTATAAATTAGACAAACATTAACCCTGTGGAAAAGCAGCTTCCTTTTAAGATGTTTATATGGAACATTTAATTGAATGGAATCGTCCTAAAGGCGAACAGTATGCTCGAAAAGAAAGTTAGGTACCTCGAAAGTTACTGGAGAAGTACGCCATACCCTAACTAGAGTTTTGTGTTGTTTATTTAATCAGGCACTGAAATGGTCACCTACCCCTTTCCGTGAGACGTCCAAATTACTCATTGACAGCTTACCTTAATGTCTGGTAGTCGTCCATGTTCACCAGTACAGCCGATAAAATCGACAAACTTCCATAATTAGTTGATTGCAATTAATAGCGAACCAGTATTAATAACGCACAGGACTTAAGCACAAAATGAAAGAGCTCTCATAATTTTTCCTAATTTAATTATCATAACATACAGGTTGAACTTTTATAGCGTTTGTTGTGCAGCAAATCAATTAAGTGTAACTAACTACCGTGTAAAGAAGTATAACGAATGGCGAGGTACTTAGATCTCACCGGAGCATGCATACCTTCATCACAGAGGCAAGTAACTTAGGGGGTGTCGAACTTCGACAATGTCAAACTGGGGTAATAAGTGAAACTTGTTAGTATCTCTGAAAATTGCCACCGTCTCTAGAGACCAAACGATTCATTCATTCATTATATAGTCGCTTTCTGACATATATCGCCACTCCCTCAGCGAATCCCGCGTACTTTCACTTACATGAATGAAAGGACCGCTCCGAATGTAGTTGTTATCAACGAGAGTCTCATTCCGATACTGTTGACAATCGGACGCCTCCGTTCATATACACCCACGACGAGTTCAACGATGTCAGCTTCTATGAAGTGATTAATCTATTAACATTCTATCATTTACCAGTGTATCATACGTAATTCTATGTATTTCAGTTTTCGCCTGGACTGCGTTTATGTAATCTGTGCTTTTTGTACGTATCATATGTTCATGTAGATCTACATGCAACATCTGCTTCAATACAACTTAGTCATTGATATAATTTGGGGTATGTTATTATTACGAACATAAGTTTTTGTCATTAACTACTACCGACGCATCATAATAATAGCATTCTTAACTTCAGGCAAATCTTATTTAAATTCAATGCATCTTTCACCCCCCGAACCCGTTTCCTTTCACAAGCTAGGAGTGGCAAATGTAAGTTCCGTGGAGAAATCTATCCTTTTCAAGAAAAGCGTATTCCAAGGAAGGACCCGAAGCGAGTAGCATGTTATTCTTCCGAAATGTCTGCATCATCAGCTTTCATCGTATCTTGCAACTCTATCGGCGAAAATGTTCCTCTAGGGAAAAACCGCGGGCGAAAAGGCTCACCCATAGTACACCTCCAATGGGAAACCTTTTTCTAGAATAACACACTTTAAGCTGTTGAAATTTTTTTTCATTGAGAATACGGATTAATAATTTTACGCCAAACCGCATAATAAACGTTTTATATGAGACTGCATGACCACGCTAGACTTCACGTCGCAAGAATCATGGTAGTAACAATACACGAGCTACGATTGTTATCCATTAAATTTGCATGACCTTGTTCCCTGGACGGCCTATTAACAAGAAAATTCATATTGCAACATGATTTCGAAATAGCGGTTCTTAGACCCTTGCACTCCAAACTTCTACAGCAACGAAAGAAATAAACTACCATCCAAGTTGCAGAAGTTCGTAGCCAACGGTGATGCACACTTGAAGTGAGAATGAAAGAAGCAAGTCTGAGGGAAAATTAGTAGTTCATTATGTCACGTTTCATACCAAATGGACCTATATGAAACACCAGTTTACTGCTTTGCAAGTGATGAGTTAATCATCCTTAGACTATCCTTAGAATCCAACATCCTTCGAATCATCCCATAGACCTTCCCGGCGGTAGCAGTAGTTGTGTGACTGCACGGGTTCAGCTACGAAATGTTTCTACGAATTTCTAGCTAGAATGTTCGTTTGGGTATCATTTTAGGGTCAAGTGCATTGGGCTAAGCCAGTTAATGTGTCCTTTGGTGAAGTAAAGGGTTAATTAGGCCATTTTTCAGGATAGAAAGATTCAGGTACCAATTCTAAACATCATATGCCGCACTATATTCTGCAAAACAAGTAGGCTAATATTATGCATTGCAACTGCTAATAACACTAATTATACAACTTCTTTCATATTCGTTCGTGCCTCTATATTTACTTCTAAAACAATATAATATTCAGCAATGCACTCAAAATATAGCTGTTGTGACTAAAACTTTTTTTTTTTTTCTTTTTTAAAAAATGTTCTACACGAAACGCACTTAAAAGTATATCCAGAAGCTCAAATATAATCATCCCACAACATTATAGATCAATATGTAATAGACGGCGCGGTGCCGAAACTATATACAAACTAAGTTTCATACAAAAAAAATATTAAAGGATAGCGAAAGCTAACGCGTAATCATACATTTGTTATATTGCGTACAAAGGGTGAGGCAAAAGTCTTTCAACAATCTTTCACAATTTCCCATACAAAGATATTTGACTAGAGAGTTGCATAAACCCAAACATATGATATATACAAGGGATACAATATGGAATCATCGCTTAGTTGAATACGATAGTTAAACCCTAGACAATTGCACTTTCAACATATACTTCTGTAATACCATACCCTGTAATACTTTTATAGCATATCGTTTTGTAGAAATTCGCACGAAACAGAAATATAATTGAAAAGAAACATAATGGCTAAGATCAATAAGGTGTGCGAACTTCAAAACAATGGTACGAACGGCTATCGCAAGTAGAGATCTTTGAGAGGTTTATTATAACCCCGGAATTATCCACTACTATTGTTGTTTTAGCTGTATCACGGATTTAACAGGAAACAAAGCTTCCAAGGCCAACAAAGTTCTAAAAAGGACTCTAGACAAATAAATGATGCCTCATTGATCGTGTCTCGCAGGCCCAAGCTAACGTTCGCTGAAACGAAACAAACTCGTTGTCGTTCTCTATTTTTTTGCAGGCAACTTGGTCAATCTTGCTTCCTGTTCAACGACCGGTGAGTGTCTAAACGGGCACTAATGGCAGGCGGGGGTCTGCTGTTGTACTGGCTCTGACCGACCTTGGCTATTGCATTGCTGGAGCGACGTGGTAGTTACGTTCGTCCGCAATCATCATCCCTAGGGACCAATCCGACACACGACCCACAAGCAACTGCAACCCATTAGGCTTTACGGTTAAGACGCGTGCTATGTATCGTTCCAGCAGCGAATAGGCTGGCGTAATCTGGCTGTTCAGCTCTACCTGCCAACGCGTCCAAGAGGCTAATGAAGACTACATCTTGGAGAAAATAACTGTTATACAGGAACACACACACAAACGGAAGCCAACAAAGTGTTTCATGTAATGTATTATAGAATTGATCAGACGAAATACTTGATACAGCCATTGAATTTCTTATAGCCTATTGCCAGACGTGTTATTTATGTGCCAAACACAAGTAGCAGCTGAACTGTAATAGATTGTTTGTTTGTTTGTTTGTTTGTTTGCTGTCTCTGAAGTTCCAACAATAAAATTACCCTTCACTATATATTAGGTATATATGATAACATATGTATACATGTGCC